GCTCTGATAACAACTCCCAGTTTCCTCCAGGGAGGCAAGAGGCCCTCCTGGAAACCAGCAAACGTTTTCTTTCCACCTGTCCCGCTTCCCAGCAATTCCCTCTCTAACTACCTCCTCCTTCTGCACCCCAAGTGCTGGGACTGGCTCCTAGGGTCCTCGATGTCTTCCCCTAAGAGATTGGCTAGCTCCTCCCCCAGGACCCCAGGGAGACCCACAGTGTGGGCCTAACAGAGGCCACACAGAGGCCTGAACCAGGGGAGGGGACGAGGTGGGGGGAGGACTTTGCTTCTACTTTCTTATCTGGGAGGAGGGTGTTGACTCCAGAAAACTCTGACCACCAGTACCTTTGTGGTGGGGGCTTGGCCTGTGGGACTGCGGCTCCTGTCCTGGGCCTCTTGCTTTTCCTGGCTGCTCCCCATGCTCTGGCTAGCCTCTCAGACCTCCATGCTCTTTCTCAGCTTCCTCTCCTGTAAGATGGGTTTAGCGAGAGGACCAAGTGCTGGGTGCTGGGGGTTCCTTCTACCCTCTCTGCTCTGGCTCTCCATCTCCTTGGATCCTTTTCTTGCTGCTCCCAGTCCTTTGCCAGGCGATCTCCCTGTTGGGGCCTCTCATTAACCAGATTTGAAAAACTGAGACTGGTAGAATTAGTATCAAGAGACAGGTAGGGAAACTGAGGCTTAGGGAAGAAATTGATCTACCTGAGGTCACACAGAAGTTGGCAGGTGAGTTGGGCCAGAACCCAGAACGCTGGGCCATGTTCCCTTGCTGGGGATAACTAGGAAAGGGGTCCTAGGAAATATCTCTCATCCTTGTCCCAATCAACCCCTCCAAATGGTTTTAGTTTTCTCAAGTGTGAGCATATATATTTTTAAAAACAACATAGAAGTTTACTTCTCGCACACAAACAGTCCAGGGCTTAACTGGCAGCTTTACAGTGTCGTAGGAACAGTGTCCTTTCATCCCGCTGGACTGCCATGCTCAAAGGTGACTTCCATCTTTGAGTCCAAAAAGACTGCCGCAGCTCCTGCCATCATTTCTACACCCCAGCCAGTGGCAAGGAGGAAAGAAGAAGGGGGAAAGCTTAAGCCTTTCTTTTTTCTTCTTTTTTTCAGTTTAAAAAATTGTGTTAAAATACACATAACATAAAATTTACCATCTTGGGGCGCCTGGGTGGCTCAGTTGTTAAGCGTCTGCCTTTGGCTCTGGTCATGATCCTGGGGTCCTGGGATCGAGCCCCGCATCGGGCTCCCTGCTCCGCGGAAGCCTGCTTCTCCCTCTCCCACTCCCCCTGCTTGTGTTCCCTCTCTCACTGTCTCTCTCTCTGTCAAATAAATAAAATCTTAAAAAAAAAATTTACCATCTTAACATTTGAAGTGTACAGTTCAGTGCTTTTAGGTACATTCATATTATTATGCAACCAGATGATGAAGGTATTTTCTAGAAAAAATTGGGGCTCAGAGAGGGTGTCTTGCTCAAAGTCACACAGCATATAAGTGGGTCTTTTGACTGTAAGGCCTGCCTTGGGGGCTTCTGCCGGAGCTGGGTGTCACTTCTCATTAGCTAGGTGGCCATGTGAGGAGTATCGGACGTCGTGTGGGGTCCCAAGGTGCCCTTCACCCCCAAGGAGATGAAGAGGCCCATCTGGGGCCTCCACCCATGGGATGCTGGGCCGGGAACTTCCAGCCAGAGCTCACAGGGCTCACATGAGCACCCCACATTCCCCTCTCTCCGCTCCCCAGAAGCTTTAAGATGCTGGGAAAAAGAGGAACGTCTTAGTAACGAGGGACTCTAACTGGATTTTCCCCAGGATTGGTGTGCAGAGCTTACTACTGAATGATTTACCGAGCGGCCCAGGCCAGAGTGGGGCTGGCGATGTCCCAAGTGTGCGTGTGCGTGTGAGCGCGCACGCTCTTCCGTGCCTGGTGTGAGCGCAGATGCACGTGTCTCTGTGCGCACGCGGGTGTGCGCCCCGCACGTTCAGAAGCACCACGAGCGGCTCGGGACCCAGCGGGCTCTGGGCGGGCGGGGCCCCCGCCTCCCCGAGGGGGGACCCGGGGGCCCGCAGTAGTGAGCGGGGCGGGTGGCTGCCAGCTGGGCCCAGCGAGGAGCCGTGTCTGGGGTGGTGTGTTGTAACTGGCAGCCTGGCATATGAGTCACCGGCCAAATTAACTCAAGTTTCCTTTGGGGAAAAATGTAATCAGTTATTGCCCTCTGTTCCATTTTAGCAAATTAACTCGTCCAGTTTTTTATTTCTATTTTTTTAATGTGGGGAGGGGTGAGGGGGGTGAGGACAGAGGGTGGCGGAGGCCGGGGCCAGAGCTGAGCAGCTGCCTCGACAAGGCCCCGGGAGCTGCTGAGCACAGACTTCAAGGGAAGTGGGGTCCCGGCTGAAGCAGGGGGGGCGGGGGCCGCTGCTCCTGCAGGCTGACACGGCCTCGGGTCCTGCTGGGACCCGGGGAGGGGGGGTGGAAACGCATATTTGAGGAAGAACTTCGCTACCCCTGAGCATGTTTCCCGGACACTTTTCTCTGTGCCCACCAGCTGGAAGAGCATAACAGCCCCACTGGGAGCAAGGGGGGGAGGATTCCTGGGGCCTGAGTAGGCCTCCTGGGGCAGATTGTCCCAGTGCCAGAAGACACCAGTCTGGAAGCTTCTGCCAGGCCTTCCTGTGTGTGAGTGACCACACTGCAGTCACGGGCACAGTGGGGCCCGGCCTGTGGCCCCAGGGCTTTCATGTTCATACTCACATCTACCTCTGAGGTATTGCAGACCCCCTGACACAGAGGAGGGGTCTTGACCCTCTGAGAGGTGACACGGTAACACCAGACCTTGCTCCTTCCCCCTCAAATGTTGGGGGATACAAAAGGTATTTGATCTTCAAGAGCCTGAGCGTGCCCTGGTTCAGCCCCCGGGACCTGTGGGGTGACCACTGTCTCTGGTTGTAGCCCTGGGTGCACGTCCTGGCTCTCCTGGGAGGTCCACCCCTCTGTCGACATCAGGCCCCGTCATGGCCCAGGCCTTACCAGCTTAGGTTCTGCTGTCCCTGAGAAATCCAGACTGTTCCCAGCCCATGTACGCTCCCCCACCCTCCTCCCACCTCCCATTGCTCAGTACCATGATAGGCAGTCCCAGGTGCCAGATTCGTGTCCACTGTGGGCATGGAAAAACGTCCCAGCGTGCATGGGATGTTGGGTGGGGTGGGCGTAAAAGCCGTACCCACATTGTAAGCTCACTGGGAAGACCCACTGAAATGCTGCATACAAACTACGCAAGGACCACTCACCCTTGGAATTTTTTTCCAAGGGTGAAGTCTGCGCCCAGCCGGGTCCCTGGCCTGGGGTCTGGTCCGTGGGGAGGTGGCCTCAGGCAAGACCTGTGGCTGGCATCGGGCCTGAGGAGCTGTGGGATCCCGAGGTACCAGTCCCTTGGTGACAGGGAGGCATGGCTCAGCATGAGCATGACGGTGCCCTGGGAGGCAGGGCCTACTTTCTGGCCATGAGGAAGGGGCTCTTGTGCAGGCAGGTGGTCTTGGCCAGGAGGAAGAAAGCAGCACGGCCGTGCCATTGGGAGCAGAGAAAACGGAGGACTCACAGGGGACATGCCAGGGCGCTTCTAGGTTCTGGGCGAGGTTTAGAGGAGGGAGATCTTACATCAGCAGGGTTGAGAGTCAGGGAGATTGACTTACTACAGGGAACTGGCACGGGGAGGCCCGGGAAACGCTGGACATAAGAATTCCAAGGGTGAGGGGCACCTGGGTGGCTCAGTCGTTAAGCGTCTGCCTTCTGCTCAGGTCGTGATCCCAGGGTCCTGGGATCAAGCCCCACATCGGGCTCCCTGCTCAGCAGGAAGCCTGCTTCTCCCTCTCCCACTCCCCCTGCTTGTGTTCCCTCTCTCGCTGTCTCTCTCTCTCAAATAAATAAATAAATAAAATCTTAAAAAAAAAAAAATTCCAAGGGTGAGTGTTCCTTGCGTAGTTTGTATGCAGCATTTCAGTGGGTCTTCCCAGTGAACTTACAATGTGGGGGTACGGCTTTTATGCCCATTGTAAAGCTGAACAAACTGAGGCTTAACGGGGCAGCAAGGCCACCCTGAGACCCTGTGCAGGCCCCCTGTGGCTTTGTGGCTTCCTGGGTGAGTTCACCTCCCTAATGCACCTGTGAGCCCGGGGGCTGGGCACGACCCTCAGAACTTTGGGAGCTTTTGTCCCCTGAGCCAGGCAGCTGCACAGTGGCCCGTAGAGACCTGGATCTTCTCTGCCGGGGTGCTGGAGGCCAACAGCTGGGGTGTGGTGAGGGGTAGCCGCTGTGGGCGTTCACCGCCCCAGGAGATGGCCTCACTGTCCCTAGGGTGCTCACGGCACTGCAGTTTGGGCGGCTTGGGCTCCCGGCGGGGGCGGGGGGGGGGGTGCTGGGCTCCCTTTGTGCCTGGCAGGTGCCCGACTTCCTGAGTGGGTGGACTCGGGGAGGGAAGGAGCGCGGATCCCTTCCGCACACTCTGGCTGCAGGCTCCGTTCAAGCAGTGTTGGGTGTGTCTGCAAAGTCCCCCTGCTGCCGTCACCAGGGTGCGACAGTGGGGCAGGAACTGAGGTGCCCACCGTGGGGCCAGCCTGGCCTCTAGGTGAGTGTTTGTCACCAAGCCATTCGTGGGTGGCATCCGACGGTCAGAGCAATGCAGAACGACCTTGGGAGCAGCTTGTCCGGGGGGCTCCGTGGGGTGTCTCGGATGTGTGTGGGGGGGACACTTGTCGGTGGTCACAGTGCTGGGAGGGAGGACTGGCACCTGGCGGGCAGGGATGCCCGGGGCTCTCTAACGTCCCAGGGGCCCCACGGCTCCGCTCTGTGAAAGATGTTTCCCGCATCCCACGCACACCGCCGGTGTCCCGCCAGACATTCCTATGGGTGAAAAACTTGCTTAAAATGGTCCGAGCCTAGAACTGGACTCTGTTTTACATAACACACAGCATTTCTTCTTCTTCTTCTTTTTTTTTTTTTTTTGCACAGTCTTAACAAAAAAGGAATCTCCAAGGCGTGCAGCTACAGCGAACATTGAGGAGAGATCGTCTTTTGTGCAGTCTCGGGAACTTACTGAGAGTGTCCACTGTTCCAGACACGTCTTCCCCAGACGCGAGGCTACTCATGGTACTTGAGTGTCTGGTGTCACCTCACGGTACCAGCCTGCGTTTGGAAATGTCACATTTGTGGTGAGTAGACGAGCAGGTGCCCCAATTCCCAATTCCAATCCTTCACTTTGACCTCTAGGTACACATGCCAAAGCATTTAATACAAAATGTGGTTTGATTATATATCACGTTCCTTTTATTTCTCCTTGATATCACAAGTGAAGGCATTATTATATTGATTTTTAAAGTTATAGCTGCGACTAGGTCATATTGTCAGTTCACGTCGTTTCTGGAGAGACAGGGAGGTGCTGCCAAGCATCTGTTATAGGACAGAAATGCTGGGTCCTCCATTTCATGGATGGGGAAACTGAGTCCAGGAAGGCCCCATGACCTGCTGGCTGTCTCCCGATTCCAGGCCCGGGGGCTCTTTCTGCTTCCTCAACGGCCCGGCCCGTGGCTGCCCTCCTCCTCGGCCTGTTTTCTCATGACAAGCCCTGCTCCCTATTATAAAGGGGGAATGAAAGGTTTTTAAAAAACACGTCGACTTTTGTTTGTCATGTAATGGAAACTTCCTGAAAATCCAGCTAGGCCCCGGGCTGTGTGGACCCAGCAGTCTGGCGGTGTCCGGGGCCTCTCCTGGCTGTGCCCTCTGCTCACTCTGGCCACACTCCCTCTGGGCCGGGCTGGAGCCGGGGGTGGGACCAGATGACCTCCTGTGACCTCATCTGGCCAACACTATTTTCTCCCTTTCTAGATTGTTTTTCCAATCACCAAGTGAATCTGAGTGAGACTCTCTCTCTTCTTTCGATGACTACCTTTCAACTCAAGTTATGGTTTTATAAATAATATATATGGCAAGTCAGTGCTGGGGAAAGGACAGTCATTCGGCTCTGAAATATTTATGGCCTGGAGTGTCTGCTTACTTTTCTTTGGAGTCATTTTTTTTAGCACGGCGTGACAGAAAGCGTGACAGCCCAGGACATCTTCGGGGGCGGTGGCGCAGATGGCCCCTCCAGCCAGGCTGCGGGGCCCATCCATCCTGCGGCTGACTGGGGAGGTGGCACCTCTGCCCAGGGAGCCCTCCCAAGCCCAGACCTCCTAAATTATCTCAGGGAAGGCTCTGCTCCAGTGACAAGAATCAGCACCACTGCCCTCGAAACAGACGTTGCTTTCCAGTGTGCGGTTTGAATTATAACAGACCCTATGTCCGAGCTTTACTCAGATACGCTCTCGAATCCTTGGGCCTCTCCTCGGAGGTGTGCACTTGCACCCTCATTATCCAGGTGGGGAAACTGAGGCTTATCAAGGTTAAGGAATTTCTCAAGGTCAATGCCATCATCCAGTAGGAGCCTGGATTTTCACCCAGCCTGGCTGACTTCTTATCTCAATCTTTTCTCCTTGTACCAGGTTGCTGCCCAGCCTCATCACTTAGCTGCAGCTGGGGGCCAAGGAATGGACTGCAGATCACTTTCTGCGGCTGCGCGTGCCTGTCTGCAATGGCTTGAAATGCTAGGGGCCTTGGATCTGGGAATAGCAATCTGCGCTGAACAGCCGGGCTTGAATCCCAATCCTAAAGCAATGAATGCATTCCTGCATGTGCTGAAGTGGGGCAGATGGTGCTAGAAAGACCCATAGAGTCATCTTGTCCGACTTCCCATGTTACAGGTGGGAGATGAAGAGCCTGGCAGGGGTAGGAATTTGCCCAAGGCCACAGAGACAGCTGGAGCCCATTGGTCACAATGGTGGCTCTTGGAGTCCAGTCATCTGGTCAACCTCATCTCCCTCCCATTACCCCTCTTCTTCCAGAGGAAAACCAACACTTGGAGGGGGAAAAGCTTGATCAGCATCACGCAGTAGATGAATATAGAGCTGTGTACTTCCTGGGTTTGGCTGAAAATCCACGAGGGAGTTAAATAATTTTGAGACTGTGCGTGAGGAAAAAAGAATTCCAGGGCATTTCTAAACTAATTGGACCATGGAGTGGGCTGTAGTTAATACATGATAGATATTTAATCAATGATCGGACTGAGTGGTGAGGCCAGGAAGATCTCACACCATTTCTCCACCTGGAAGCACAATTTCCTATAGGAAAAAGACGCTTATATTCCTGATAGTTGGTGACTCTAGGCACCCCGAGGGCAGGGCTGGTGCTCTGTCATAACTGGGGCAGGCAACAGAGCACAGTTGTGAAATCAGTCGGGGATAACATTTCTGAAAAAGTCCAGTTCAGCCCTGAGCCAGAGGGAACTGTTGGGCTGTTCTGCCTTTGGCCTGGTTCTCCCTGTGGTAGATAGTCTTCAAAGACGGCCCCCTCCGTGAGCCCCCCTCCTGGTGTTCATGCCCTCCTACCGCCCTCTCCCCTGAATACGGGCTGGCCCTGTATGCACAAATAGAATGTATTGGATGTGACCAAGTGACTTCCAAGGCCACGTCAGAAGATCCTTCTCTGAGATGAGCCCTCCACACCAGCTAAGAAGCCACCACCAAGATCATGTGCAGATATGGGGAAAAGCCAGGGCCTGTGGAAGGAGACTCTCCTTGCCCTTCCCTCTGGACAGCCCTCCCTCACCTGGAGTCCTGCTTACACCTCCCCTCTGCCCTTGGTTTCTGGCCAACTCCCAAAACGTGTGGCCAAGAGGCCCCAGAGTGTCCCTGGGGGACCGACAATGGGAAGGAGCAGGGCTATGCAAACAGCTAACTGGTCGGTACAAGACGAGCACAAGAATAGAGCAATTCTAGACACTAGGATCGAAATTTGACATTGCCACGACAGCCAAGCCTTGATCCATGCACTTGTCTCTTCAAACGGGAAGTAGACCCTACGCAATATAACTGTCAGCTTGCGAGGTGTGTCATGTTTGACCTGAGCAGCCTTCTGGTCATGTGCTGAGGGGCCACGTATTGTCCATGATGACCATCTAGGTTGCAAAGCAGAGTGTGAGCCTGTAGTATGCCTTTGTTCATCCCCTTTGGGAGGAGACAACCCTGGGGGAAAGACATGCCATTGGTAAGCGCAGTGGGGGCTGGTTCTCGGGCCCCATGCTCACTCCCCTGACCCCTCAGCTGGCTGTATTTGTGCAGTGTGAAGTGTACAACTACCCGTGGTAAATAGGAGTGGAGGCTTGCCCCCGGCCTTGAAGACTTGGGCAGCCTGACCCCTTCTTCTTTGTAGCTAGACCCTTGGAGGCTTGGGGCTTGTCTCATAAGAGAAACTTGACTCCCTGTCTCTCAAGGAAAAGAACTGAAGGATCCAAGGACTTTGCATATCTTTTCGTAAGACAAGCTGGTGACATTAGACTCTGGGATCAATGACTTGATTTTCACTTAAATGCATAAGACCTCAAGTAGCAAATTCACTTGGGCCAGGGTTCTTTGAAACACCTGAGGAAGAGTCAGAAAGCTCATTGGACCCCAAGTACTAACACTTCCAGAGGCCAGGAGCCAGCTGGCTTTGCCTGGCTGGGAGGTAGGCCCCTACCTAGTTGCCCCTGGGGGTTGTTTAGGGGAAAATGCCAGGTCTGGGGTGAATAATTCCAGTACAGCTCCGGAGTCTGGCTTTGGAGGTGTGGTTGTGCCAGAATTAATTACATTCTGGCACACAATTCAGGACAACCCACTTCTCAAGGGGCTACCCTAAGAGCCAGCGTCTAAGTCTTGGGCTGAAGGGAGCACTTCCTGGAGGGACCCCCTGACTGTCAGGCATGGGGGCCCGCAGGGAGGACCTGCCCTGGCTCCTTTAAGGCTTTGGATCCCCCTTTTTTTTTTTTAAGATTTTATTTATTTATTTGAGAGAGAATGAGAGAGAGCACATGAGAGGGGGGAGGGTCAGAGGGAGAAGCAGACTCCCTGCCGAGCAGAGAGCCCGATGTGGGACTCGATCGAGGGACTCCAGGATCATGACCTGAGCCGAAGGCAGTCGCTTAACCAACTGAGCCACCCAGGCGCCCGGCTTTGGATCCCTTTGGTGAGGGTTACATTCTTACATTTGTTTTTTATTTAAATCAGCATAAAAACACATACTCACCGGGATCATTTGTGAAACATCTGTTTATGATAGTTATGTTTGGGGCCCTTATAAAAAGCCATCACTACTCAGTAAAGAGGGCAGAGGAATGCCCCTCCCCCCCAACCCCCCCCCCCAAAGTGTCTACTCTCCGATGCCTGGATCAGGTGAATAGGTTACCTAACGTGGCAAGGGAGAATTGAGGTTGCGGATGGAAATTAAGGTCACCGATCAGCTGATGTTAAGATAAGAATTATCCGGCATTATCCAGGTGGACCCAATGTCATCTCAGGACCCTTTAAGGCAGAAGAGGAGGTCGGAGTTAGTGCTTTGAAGATGCTACCAGCTGGCTTTGGAGATGGAGGGGGGCCACGGGCCACGGGAGGCGGAAGTCACAGAAGGAGGAAGAGGTAAGTGGATGAGATTCTCCCCTAGAGCCTCCAGAGTGGGGGACGCAGCCGTGCTGACTCCTTGAATTTAGTGGAGTGAGGCCCATGTCAGATCTCCGACTCCAGAACCGCAGGATAATCAATATGCGTTGTTTGTAGCCACTACATTTGTGGTAACTTGTTACAGCAGCCGGAGAAAACGGGTCCAACGGGGCGCAGAGAGACTTCGTAACTCGCCCAAGACGGCACAGTATTAAGGGCTATCCGAGATCAGCCTGACTCCAGAGCCTTTCTCATCTCTGCTCCACACTGTCTCCTGCTGGTGTCTGCAGTGACCTCAGTGTGGGGGCAAGAGAGGGGAGAGCACCCCCCTCCCCACACTGGGAACCCGAGGAAGGGGGTGGAGAGACGCAAAGCAGGGAGGGACGAGTGACCCTGTTGGCCACAGGCGGGCTCCCCTTCTGGCCATAGCTCTGAACAAAACTCTTCCTCGGCTCTTCCAGCAGCTCGCCCGTGGCCCCAAGCAAGGCAGGTTCACTTGCAGGGCCCGCATCAGAGCCCTGGGCGCCCCCACCAGCAGGGGGGGGCATGCCTCCCAGGGAGGCGGGAAGGGATGCGCTGTCTCTTGGACAGAAGATGCCCTTTGGTTGTGGGTAAGATGTAGGTTTGAATGCCCACGTTGAGTAATGTGCTTAGTTTCCTTGAATGTCACCTTCCTTATGAGGAAAAAGGGGGTGATCATGTCCACCTGACTTTGGGATCCTGGAGTGGGATCCTGCTGTTCCATCCACGTCAGTTTTCTTTCTCGTGAATTTGTGACTGTTGCCTGGTACTGCTTAACCTCATCCCAGCTGCCCTCCAGCCCCGAGCAGGATGCTCCTTTCTGACTCCCACCGAATCTTTCTTACAGATTTGGATACCTCCCAGGGCCAGCGGGGTCCAGGAGCCCAGGACAAGGGCTCTCTCCCCGCCCTAGGGCTCACGGCTGGGCCCTGCGCGTGGTAGTCAAACGTCACCTTCCTGGGGGGGAGAGGGGCCCTTCCCTGGTCATCCTGCCACAACTTTCACCCCCGCCCCACCCCAGATGCCTCATATCCCTTTCCCTGCTCAGCACCTACTGCCGTCTAGCCTGTTATATTTTTATTTTATTTCTGTATCTTGCATAGTTTGTGCCTCTTGCTGTAGAATTTTAGCTCCATGAGAAGAGGGACTTCGTGAATCTTCTTCACCGAGGTGTCCCCAGTACCAAACACAATGCCTGGTACAAGGCAGGTGCTCAAAGCACATTTGTTGAGTGAGTGAGTGATGGAGTGAATGACAGGAGTGAATGACAGCTGTCCTCTCCGAACGTGATTCTCCCCCTGAGGCATCACTGAGGGCTGGGGACTTTGGGGACTGATTTTCTCACAAAGCCAGCAGCAAGTGTGGGGGCCTGGGGGTCTTTTAGGAGGCTGGCCAAGGCAGCTGTGAACTGAGCACTCGAAATGGGCATGACACAGCCGACCTCAGAGGCGAGAAGGACACTGAAGGAGTCCTTGGCCTCCAAGTGACCTTCACCTGGGGGGTACCTGAGGTTATTTATAGCCCGAGTGGCCTGTATTCTCCATTCTGAAGGAGCAGAGGACCAGGAGTGTGAACTGGATAAGGAGCTTGGGTAATGGGCAGTGGTGTGGGGAGGGTCTGGGGCCCCTGGGGTGAATGGGGGGTGGGCAGAGTAAATGGAGCAGGACCTGGAATCCCAAAGGTTAGGGCAGCTCTAGAAGATCAGGTCCCCAGAAAGCAGGCTCTGGATGGAGACTTGTGTGCAGGATGGTTAATGGGGATGCTCCTGGGATCAGTACCTGGGAGGGAAGGACAGCAGCGGGGGTCAGAGGGAGAGCCGGCCTCACAGCCAGACCTCAGCCAACCTCAGGGCTGGGGCTGGGCCTTCACAGACCCACACTCACAACTCATGGGCGCGGGCTGCCCCTGGAAGGGGTCTGGCCTGGGCGGTGGGGGAGCTCTCTTCAGAGAGGGTAATGCAATCACCTTCCCAGCAACTGGGGGATAATCCCTCAGACTTTAGGGGGACTTTTGGGAAGAGAAGCAGGGGCTGGGGTGAGTGCAGGTAGGTGGGGGCAGAGGGGGCCTCTGGGCCTGCCAAGCTCTGTAGCCTGCCTGGTGTGTGGCCTTGAGAAATCCTTCTCCCACTCTGATCTCCAGCTTCCTCGCTTGCACAGGGGGGTGGCTCGGGCGGTGGGGCCCATCAGAGGAGATGTGGGTGTTAAAGAGCATGGCCACATGCAGACAAGGTCAGCAGGAGGCCCCAGAGCCTCCATGGGGCCAACTGTACATGCAGGAGCCAGACTTCGTCCGGAATGTGTTGCCGAGGGTTGCGCCTTCCAGGAGGTGGAGAGCCTGCCTCCTTCCTTGGAGATATCGAGGGGGTCCAGGGGTAGCCCTCAGGGTGGGAGACACTGGGCCCCATTACCCCACTGTGAAGCCCACACAGGGGGCTCTTGGTTGAGGGCAAGTGAGTGAATATATAGCCAGAGAGCTTCGTCAAGGCCCAGCCCGGGAAACCAAGCCCCAGGTCCCCTCAAAGCCTGCACAGCCAGCCCAGGATTGGTAAAAACAGCAATTATGAGCTGTGTTATTAAAGGCTGCAGGATTTTAATTAACAATGGAATTACCGGGCCAGGGAAGGGATAATGATGGATTGCTGGAAGGCAGTTGGGGCTGGCTGCTGTTACAGCCTCTGAGCCCCTGCTAGGCCCAGGGAACTGGTGGGGCCTCCCCCCACCCCCCCAGCTTTCTGGTCACTAATGAGAGGCATTTGCAGAGAGCTCAGGGCCAGGCTGGTCAGAGGGGGTGACGGTGTGCTATTGGGGGCACCGTTCACCCCAGGGTTCCAAGGCCTGAGTGTGGGTTAATGACGGGCTCAGATAGGGGTGTTTGCAGGCAGGGCCGGGATGGGGAGCCCAGCAGAACCCAGGGACCACCAGCTACAAGGTCTATGAAGAAGGAGGCTGTTCTCCCCACTTGGGTCTGTGACTAGCCCCCCAGCTTCTCCCAGGCCTCCTATACAGCCGGTACCCAGGTCCTGTCCACATGCAAGTTAATGAGGGCCCAGAGATTCTCATCACGTTTAAGTTTCAAAACCAGTGAATTTGAGGCCTTTGGTTTTCAGACCTTTTGGTTTGTTCATTTCCTGCCTCAGCAACCCGCGATGCAAATGAAATCTTACCAGGAAGGTATATGAACCCAACAGGGGGCTCTGTCAAGGCCAGGGATGGGGGGTCTGAACCCCTCCCCTCTTTCCCACACAGCCTCTAGGGCTGCTTCAGACAAATGCAATTTCTTTTTTTTTATTTTAATTTTTATTTATTTATTTTTGTGAGAGAGAATCTGCGCATGAGTGGGGGGAGGGGCAGAGGGAAAAGCAGATTCCCTGCTGAGCAAGGAGCCCCATGCGGGGTTCGATGCCGGGATCCCGGGATCATGACCTGAGCCGAAGACAGACGCTTAGCCGACTGAGCTACCCAGGTATCCAGGGACAAATGCAATTTATTCTCTGTCGCCAACACCTTCCCCTTCTCTAACAGCCCCTGGATGGTTCAGATGGTGGCCTGAGGCCTACGGGACTGGACTGGGCAAGGCAGGAGCTGAATTCCTGAAGATTTGGACCCAGGAAGGACAGACTGAAGAGAGTTTTGGGGATGATACTTGGGGTAACGAGGGCGGGCTCTGGAGCCAGACCACCTGGGCCCAGCTCTGCGGGGGACTCATACCGTGTGATGTTGGGCGAGTTACAATCCTTGGTGTGCCTCAGTCTCCTCAGCTGTGAAATGGGTGTGAGGCAGGACTCTGAGACTCTCTTCAAAGGGCAGTACAACAACCCCCCACCCAATGTCACCTTATGGAATGTTTAGTTCTGCTCTGATGTTCCTGCCCCCAAGCGGCCCCTCCGCGTTGGACTTACAATCAATGTTCAATTAGAGTTTATTAAATGAGCAACAAGAGAAGTGGAGTGGGGTCAGATAGTTTCTAGGACATTTACTGGCGACACAAACTTCCATTCTGTGGAGTAACTGGAAAAGGTGCGAGGAACCAGGCTTTCCCTGCACTGTGGGCTCAGGACCGTTACAAGGATGCAAGAAGCAGTAACCCTTTCATTGTTTGGCGAGCACTTGTCCATGATCCCATGTGGTTCTTTGAACTTGTATTACTCTTTCGATCTTATAGATGAAGATCCTGGAGCACAGAGATGTGCCAAGCACAGCCACTCCCAGAAATGTACTTAAAGAAATGGGCAAATAATGATTGAGACAATTTTGTGGCAGAGAATAAAAGATTACATGCAGTCAAGCTTCCTTATTTGTGGATGCCATCTTTAGGAGTTCATCTCACTAAAATTGATTTGTAATCCCAACGTCCATGCTCATGGTGCTTTTACTGACATCTGTGGATATTCGCATATTGGTGAAAATGTTATTTGCCCAATGCACCTGTTCCCTGTGAAGGTCGAGCAAGGCTGTACATTGCCTTCTTGTTTCAGCTCTCGTACAGAGATCCCTGGGGGCTGGAGACCGTGGGGGCTGATCAGCATAGTACAAACTCCAGCCCTGGGACCAATTGCATGGGTTTGAATCCCAAGTCTGGCACCTGCTAATGGGACAGCCCCAGGCAAGCCACTTAACACTTCTGGACTTCATTTCATCCTTTTTTTAAAAAAAAAAAAAATCATTTATTTATTTTAGAGAGAGAGAGAGAGAGTGGGGAGAAGGGGCAGAAGGAGAGTGAGAGAGTCTTAAGCAGACTCTGCACTGAGCATGGAGCCCAACATGGGGCTCAATCTCACCACCCTGAGATCACAACCTGAGCTGAAACCAAGAATCAGTCGCCCAACCTACTGCACCACCAGGACATCCCTCATTTCATCTTTTTTTAAAATAAAAAAATAGAAACTATTGGGGCACCTGGGTGGCTGAGTCAGTTAAATATCTGCCTTTGGCTCAGGTCATGATCTCAGGGCCCTGGGATTGAGCCCCACATCAGGCTCCCTGCTTAGTGGTGAGTTTGCTTCTCCCTCTCTTTCTGCCCCCCCACCCTGTTCATGCTCTCTCTCTCTCTCAAATAAATTCTCAATAAATAAATAAAATCTTTAAAGAAATAATAGAACCTTCCAAATTGATCACCAGTCACTAAAACATAAATGGACTTAAACTCTTTAGTTAAAAGACAAAGAGTCTCAAAGAACATTAGAATAGCATATATATAATGAATTGGATTCTATTTATAAGGGATACACAAAAAAAGCATAAGGACATGGAAAGATTGAAAAATCAAAGGATAGAAAGTTATGTTCTAGGAAAATGAAAAAAATGGGATAGCTATATTAATATCAGAAAAAAACAGACTTTAATTCAGGCCAAAAGCATTACCAGAGATTAAGAGGGTGAATGAGAAATAAAAGAGTTAATTCAACAGGAAGATAGACAATTCGCATCTTTTAGACATTAATCACATAGCCTAAAATGTTTAAAGCAAGAATTGACAGATATAAAAGGAAATACGAAAGTCCAATATTAGAATGGGACAGTTAGACTTACTGCTTACAATAATAAATCAAGTGGATAAAAATAAGAAAGTACTTAGAAGATTTAATAGTAGATATCACAAACTCAATCAAGCGGATATACAGAGAACATTGTACCCAGGAACAGGCAAATATTTTTTTTTTCAAGGGCACACAAACATTTATGAAAAATGATCACGTTCGTTCCTAAAGCTAGCCTCACCTTTCAAAGGATGTGTATCGGAAGACTATATTTTAGGGCCACAGCAAATTAATTTAGAAATCAATGATAAATAAATAATTGAAAAGACCGTATATATTTGGAAATTTAAACAGAAAAACTTCTCAATCCCCAAGTCAATAAAAAAAAAAATCCATATTCACCAGATAGAATACCATTGAGAATAAAACAAATACAGCTACACACACCAATGTAAATGAACCTCCAAACAATATTTAGCAAAAGAAGAAAGTCACAGAGGAATGTATGCAGTTTGCGTCCATTTATCTTAAGGTCACAGACAAGCAAATGAAACAATGTATCATTTAGGGATACAAATGTGGGTGGTTTAAAGGAAAAGCAAGGGAATAATTAACCTGAAATTTGGAATAATATATTTCACAATAAGCATCGTTTTACAAAGAGCCTCAGATGTGGAACCTCTTCTTCATCTGGCCGGAAGGGTGGCCCAGCTCACGGGCATAAAGAGCTGCTTTCTGAAAAGATGCATCAGGACAGGCACCAAACTTGGCTTAGTTCATTAGTGGGGAAAAAAAAAAAATCGGTCCTGTTGAATTTGGTCTTTTTTTTCCCCAGATGGTATTCATTTCAGGAGACAGCCTGAGCATCATCACTGTCTCTCATTTGCTGAAACAAATTCCTCACAAATAAAGGCATGTTTCCATCTTGAGCTGCTGTTCTATCAGCTGCTATGGTACCATCTCCTTTCTTGCCTTGGGCCCCGTTTCGCTCTCCCCTCCCTCCCCTTGCTCTTCTTCTTTTTGTCCTTTTTGTAGAGTTTCAGTGCTGGTGGGAATGCTCATCCCATGCAGGAGTCCTGGGTGGAGGTGCGGTCTCTGCTTGCTTACACACCTCCCTTGACAGGGAACTCACTCCTCCAAGTGGACTTATCTGAACTCAAGTCCGACTGCCTTTGGCATCCACCCATTGCCAACGGCTCCAGCCACGGGGGTCCCCGACCACAGACAGTCTACCTCTCTTCCTTGGATGTGCTCTTTGCCACCAGCAGCCCTGTCCTCCCTCCTCCCATGCCAAGTCTTCTTCCGGGCAAATGTATTTAGTTTCTCCCTTCATTCCCTCCATCACTGCTGACCTGTCTGAAAAGCAAACCCGCTCCCTCCTATGCACATGCCAGTGTGGGACGTTATGAGGCCTGGGGAGTGTTGCTCACGGGCTTCTGTCAGAATTGGAGTGGGTGTGGACGTGAGGCGAGAGGGACCAGCAGGTGGGCAGGGAGATGAGCTGGGGCAGTGGACCAAGTTCAGAGCCCGGTCTCCCTGGCCTGCAGCAGCAGGCTCTGAGGACCCCTGGAGGCCCAGTTCAAGTACCCCCAGCACCTGGCATGCAGTGAAGACATCGCCCCCCCCCCCTCAGGCTTTCTCTCGTGCCACAAGCCTGGTGGTCTGTGTGCCTGGTGGGTCACATATGCCACACCCAGCCGGCGCTTCCTGTCTGCACTCAGCCACTTCCCCCCACCGTCACAACCTGAGTCTTATCAGCAGCTAGAACTTGACCTCTAAAATTAAAAAAATATATATATATATATTTATACAGAAAGATAGTAATCAGATTAATGAATGCACGTGGATTAAAGAAAAGCATCACACAGAAAGGCTTAGAAGAGGAAAAGCAGTGGCGCCCTGACCCTCCCCCACCCCCCGCCCAGCCGCCACTCCTCAGTTACCCTGTACCTGCGACTATTTTGTCTTCACTTCCACCTGGAGATTACCTTCCCATCTCTAAGAACAAGCTCATAACCACTTGCATCGTCATCATTTTGGGTTGTAGGCAATAGAAACCAATTCTGGGTAATTTAGGTAGAAAGAACACTTATTAGAAGCATATTGGGAGGTCCATAAAATCAATAGGAGGCTGGAGATCCCGGGGGGTGGAGGGACCCCCCAGTTCACGCCTTAGCATTGGCCTGATGAAGACCCCCACTGGACCCCGGATGCTACAGCCTATAGGTCCAGCACCCCCAATGTTGGACCCTGCTCTGTGCTCCCTGCCCCTTCTAGAAGCTGAGGGAGCCCCCCCATTGCCCCCCACCCCCACCCTCGGCCTCCCAGAACGGAATCTGTGAGGCGTCTGCTTCTCCATCCCATGGCTTTTGAATCTCACTTCAACCGAATGCATCTGACTGGCTGAGCAAAGCCGGGGCCGAACCTGACCCTGGCCGTGAGGGAGGCTGGGAAAGAGGATTTGGCATTCTAGAACTTTCCTTCATTGTCCCCTTGGGCTGGAACCACTGTTGCCCTATAATCCATTTCTTCCTCTTTCTTGGTTTACTTACTTCTTTTCCTCTTGGTGGGAGAAACGGGGTGAGGAGGGAGAGTGGGGTAAGTGATAAGCTAGCCGAGACCTCGCATGCCCAATAAAAAATGATCCGTTCCTCTGGTTTGATTGCTGGTTTGATTGGGTCTAGAATTTTACGTTAAAAATCATTTCCTCTCAGAAGGTGTAAGGCGTTGCTCCATTATCTTCTGGTAGATGGGGCTGTGAACGACAGTTCCGTGGCTGGCTGCTTCATAGTTTCTCTGTAGGTGACTCGTTTCTGCCTCTGCCCCTCAGAAATGTTAAGGACCATCTGTTGACCATGGTGTGCCTACTGAGGCATCACTATGGTGTGTCTACATATCTTTGCTTTAGAACCATTCACTGTGTTGGATGCTCAGCCATGTCCAATCTGAAGCTTCATGGACTTTCTGTTCTGGAAACTTCTCTTTGGTAGGTCTTTGATAATTTATTCCCTCCGTATTCTGTGTTCTCCTTCTGGAATTCCCAATATTAGCCACAGACTTTCCTTAATTGACCCCCTTCATTTAATCTTTCCTTTTCTCTTCTTTCTCTCTTTTTCCCTTCTTTCTCCTGCAACTTTAATCAGTAACTTTTATTATATTTTTGAAATTCTAGCAAACACATTTTAAGTTTCCTACAGTTCTTTTTTTGTTTCCCTATTGAATCCCCTGGGGCTTTTAATTGGCGTTTTTGTTAAGATGATCCTCTAACCCCTGAATTAGGTCTGCTTCCTCGGAGAGCTTTTATTTCAGGGTAAATTTTATATAACACATGTAAAGTTAAAAGCCAGAACTAGTTGGATTTTTCAAACCCTGAAAAGCCCCACGTTTCTGGATTCTCCCAACATCTCATTCACGGGTTCAGGGCAACTCCGCAATCTTCCGCTGGATGCCCCCAAGGTCAGCCTGGGTGTTAACCTACAGCCAGCAGAAAGAGGAAGAGCACAGAGAACTGCATGGGGGTGATTTGAAGTGTGCACATCACCTCCCGTCACCTGGGTTGACCAGAACTCCGTCAGAAGACTGCGCCTAATTGCAAGGAACACTGGAAAACTTAGTCGTGTGCCTCGAAAGACAAGGAAGTGGCTTTGGTGAACACCAGCAACCTCTGTGATGTCTACTGTCACCACCAAAGTCCAAACACTGTCCTCTCCTCCTGCCTTCGGCCACATCCCTCCAGCTCCCTCCCCACGTTGTAGCCAGAGTCATCTTTTAAGAATGCAAATCTGGCCACTTGGGCTCCAGCTTCAAGATCTCTGTGATTGTTTCTCCTACCACGGTCTGGTCTGTCTCCAGGGCTCTGCTCCTTAGAACCCACCAGCCACCCAGTCCACCTCCCTGTCACTGTGCATGCTCCTTCCCACAGGACTGA